TTTGAGAAATGTTTAACTATACAATATAATTGAAAATGTAAATTTATTTTCAAAACATCTTTATCTGAAACACCAAATTTTTTTGTTCAATTTTCTCTCTTCAAAGGTTTTGTTTTCTGATATTTAAAGATTAAAAGCAGAAAATAGTCTTTTTTCCTGTTTCAAATAATTATATACCTTAAATATAAAAATAAAAAACGTGTCCTTTATCATTGCATAATCAATTGCAAGAAATTAAAATCTAATGGTCATTTAAGTCAATTTATTTTACCGTAGGTTATCAGCATTATAGAAAAATGTCCTGGATCATGTTTTTTTTTTTTTTCTTCTTTTTTTTTTGAAACCTTGATATAAATATCAATATAAAAATAAAATTTATGAAACATGGAGATAAGGAACAGTATTCAATCACCTGCATGCGGAGTTAATATATCTCAGTTGATTCAATACGCAAGAGCATGCTCTTATAAACAATTTCTAAAACGAGGTAAATTACTGACAAGCAAGTTGATGAAACAAGAATATCACACATCGTTTAAAGTAATTTTTCGTATATTGATATTTATGTGAATTTAAAAAAAAAACAGAAGCAATCCACCTTTTTTCAGCAAATACAATTTATCATTAAGTCAAATGCTGATATACGTTTTTCAACTGCTTACTAATTGTTAGTCCATTATTTATACATTGAATTGCCACACATTTTTGAATAAATTTTATATTTGTATTGATATTTATATGAATTTTCACAAAAAAGGGAAAAAAGGCGGGTGTGACCGGACATTTATTCCAAGGGGGTCACCCTCCAAATGAATTGAATGAAATGTTCAATATGTTTTATCTTATGTATATTCAAAATATGCTGTTGATGCTTGTTAATTTTTTTTGATTTGTTTTCCATGGAAATAGGTATAAAATGACTATTTCTGCTTTCTTTACCTCCCCCCCCCCCCCCTCATGGAGACAACAAAACCTTTGAAGAGAGAAAATAATAAAAAAAAGATTTGTCGATAAAGAAAGATGTTTTGAAAATAAATTTTCTTTTCCATTATATTCTGTAGTTAAAAAATTTCCTCAAATTAAAGATGTATATCTCTGTGTGTTATAATGCAGGCACATAAGACTTTTTTGAAAGTCCCTTGGCACATAGATTTACAATTTTTTTACTTACCTGAAAAAGTTGACAAGCAAAAAAAAAAAAAAAGGAAAATCCTATTTCCAACTTCCTGGGGGGGGGGGGGGGGCGGTATTTATATATAACTAATTTCACTTACATTTTTTTCCACACAATACTACATATCCTTGATATCATTATTTCATGGTAAGAAGTGATTTGTTTGTAATATACAGTAACGGTAATGTTGGGGGACAAGACTTCCCCACTGTTTTTCGTCCCTGTAAAATTTCACATGTTCTGGATGTCTAGCCTGATTCAAAACCAGATAAAACAAAGAATACTGAATATTATTCAAAAACCAAAGCTAACGACTTTGAAAATAAAAGATATAAATAAAAACAATGCTCAGTTTCAATGAAATATAAATGATAAAGTTATTTAATGCAAAACTTAAAACTAAAAGTTATTTAATGCATAAAATAAATCAACAAAAGGGATACAGACCTCTAAAAAATGTGGATTCGTGTTCAGTTGGTATGAAAAATGTCATACCCATGAAGGTATGAGCATCCCCCTCTCCCCGGCCGACATAAATTTTCACATTGTCATTATAAGGCAAACGGGAAAAATGCAGATTTTGGGTTTTTTTTTTCTTCACGTAATCAGATATAATGCTCAAATGATCAAGCTCGAAAGCTGATAGAAACATTGAAAATTTGGAGTAGAGCAAATATGGGCTCCAAAAATCATCATAGAAGGAATCAGGTGCTATGGAGGAGTAAAAATCCCTTGATATCCGGGCACACCCGCCTTGTGCTTCTTTGTCACCTTGTCATGTTCACACATATTTGGAAAAATATTTGTATTGATATTCACTGAAAGTTCAATGAAAAAGGAAAAACGCCAGTCAACATTTTTTCTAAAGAAAATTGATTGAATAAAATGAGCATATGTTTTATTTTATGAACTTTCTAATATATACGAGAAAGTAAATATTTTTTTTTATAAACTTTCCCATTTGAAATAGCTTAAAATGCTCTTTTCTGAAATTCTAATCTTACATGGAGCCTGCTCTTGCGTATCAATCAACCTTCGAGAGAGAATACATACATTTCATCTGCAGGTGAAAGATGTTATATTGTTTTCCATTATATTCTAAGGAAATGATTTCGACAGAAAAGTTTGTAATCACGTTTATCATTTTAACTTTTTTGTTAGGTTACCAATAATGTCTCTTTCTAGCATAATATCTAAAAATAATACACATGTTTCAGTCTTTGCGCTAACTTTTTTTCGAAATTAGATGGATACATCGAATCAATATTGGAATGAAAATGAAAATTGTTAATTAATAAAACGTCGTCTGTATACTTAGTATCTTATGCTGATTTGAAGGATACAGGAAAAGACTTACATTTGATGTACATAAGTTTTTGAATTCTGCCATATATGAATATAAAATATGACTGTTAATAACGGGGGCACTTAGTACCAATGGGATTCTGACAAATTTGTGGAGTACTTGCACTCAAAGACTCAAAGGATATCGAAATCAGAAACTTAAGCACTTTTTTATATCAACTTTGGCGATCATAATGATTGAAAGGGTTTTAAATCTGGAAATTTTTACGTCGATTTTTATTTTGCCAATTCGGGTTAAAATGCTGTTGATTAATTTTTACGTTTCAAAATTTTGCGAATGATCACTGCTTTGTTTACATTTTCTTATTGGTAATTTATTTTTAAGAAAAATATTTTTGCGAATGCAACGAACTCGCAAATTTGCTTAAAATTTATCTACAGCAAAAATTTCCAGATTTACGGATATTTCATTTTCAGTCATTTAGTTTTCACAACATAAACATAAACGGTACAGTTATTGCTTTAAGATAATCTACTGACAAGTTAGATTTTTAATGTGTAAAAACTGTCTGGATAGTTATTGCCAGCATTAGCATATAAGAAAACAACAACAATATTCTCTGTCATTGATTGACAATTGGTAAAAGTAAACATTACCCTAATATTCAACGGAAATAAAAACCTGGGGAACAATACGGGAAGCTGGTCCAATAGTTGGTTCAATGGCTCGGGATATAGATGTGTATTGATAGACACCATTCATTCCAGCTGAACGCAGAGAATACCATAGGCTAATTAACAGACCTTAATAAAATCAATATCACCTCGTCATATGCTGAAGCTTTGGTTTTAAAAATGCCTACCCTTGTTGTAAAAAAGCATAATCATGGTCTCGATTATCCAATCTGCACTCTTGCAAAAGGAAGCATTTTTCTTCATCTAATGAGGTTTCTTAATTAACAATGGTTGTTTTGAAATAAATTATTATCGTTCCGTAACACATTCTGGTATTTTTGTTTTTAAAATTTGAATTTGATCACTTTTAGCTGTATGTAACGAGTGAGCATTATTACACACACGTGATGTGAGTATCATAACCAAGATATACAAACCGATAGAAATAAAATGACCAAAGAAGCAATTCTGGAGTAGAAGAAGTTTCTGACATGTAGAGAAATTACGTAAAAATACATGATTTGTCACCTTAAACATTATTTTTTTTTTAAAGAAAAATTGAAAGATTTATGTAACGCAGATGAAAATTGCTTACAGTATGACCCAACAATATAATAGTAATTCTTTGAAACTTAATTGCGTACAGGGAGGTGAATTTGAGTCGCCTCCAGTGAAAGTGAATAGAAGTGTCCTCGACCTATGTTAATAAATAACTTTTTTTATTCTCCATTTTGTTTGAATAGGAGAAATGTCAGTGTATTTTTATACGGAGGGTGTTGAATTATACATTTAGCCTGAAGACTTGTTTAAACTGGGAACGCGTTATCTCGATTTAGATGTCAGATTTGATTAGGTTTTATTGATAAAATAGGCTTTGACAATTAAGGGAATTGGCTTATAAAATTAATTGCAATACGTGGCCATGTTAATATATGCATCTAGGGAGAATAAGTGGCAAGATGACCTGAATCAAAGGTCATTTAAAGGTCAAGTGAAATGGTTTACTTGGTCAATCTAAAATTACTAGTATCAAAATGTTTATTCATGAAAGAAGAAAATTAGTTTATATTTAGGATCTTGTGTCGCAGTAGTCCTGTGCTTAAGCATTAAATGCGTTGCGAGACTTTCTTTAGCTAAAGTGCATTGAATCTCAATCATTTCAAGAATTGATATTTTCCCAATTCCTGAACTTGATGTAATAATACATACAACTCATACTTCAGCTTTTTTCTGCAATATCTTAATACAATGGGAAATTTTAGACATGCCATAGATGCGAAACTTGTTTAAAGACTATATCTAAAGTCAATTGAATTAATTTAAACGATATAAATCGAAATCTCTATAAAGCTTTTGGCATCTGTAGGAGCGTATTCAACTTATAAGCCTTTCAGTATCATCGAACACAATTATAGTATTAAATGGTGTTTATTCCAATCAAGCTGTGATTTTTTTTTCTCATTACCATAAATAGGTATTAGTAAAACGTTCATAGACAACGCACTTTTAATAGCGTTGTGATTTTCATTCCCCGTGACTTCGTAAATTTATTACCTCCATGGCACCTGATCCTACCTCTGACGTTTTGGAGGTCCATGTCTGCTCTGCTCCTATTTTGTATTGTTTTTTTGGACTTTTGATCTTGAATACTGTTCGGTATCTCCATATGTTTCATTGTAAACTCACCAGATGTATAATGAATTACGCGTTATTTAAAAAATGCTAAAAATAAACATAACATATTACCACGGTATTTCAATCAAGTGTTGACGTATGGACAATGTATATAGTATTGTAATGACCAGATGCCCTATCAGGTTTTGGGAATACACAACATACACACAGAGACGTTAAAACTTAATTTATTATAATATTAACATTTATATCACAGACAACATTATAAGAAAATAGAGATTTTTAATCCAAAAATGAGTAGTAAGTACAAAGTAAGTGGACTGGGATCTCAAAATACACAGACCCTACACATAATAGAGCAAAAGAAAAGCTATAAATTGCCAAAAATATTTATAAAATTAAATTCTGTATTGTATTAATGGAAAACACGGACGGATATATAATACCTTATTTGGTAAGTTCATCTCTTCATTCATTGGTTGAACACTCTCAGGGGCAGTGACCACGTAATGTAATTATTTAATGATATAAAAAAGCAGTATCCACACCCATGCTCGAATGGCCACTCCCCTGAGAGTGTCCAACTTATAATAGTTATAAAATATTTATTAAAAATGGAGAAGATGCTTCTTGAAAATGCCAGCAATAAACAAAATATCAATGATTTGATAGATGCAGTGTGAATAAGTTAAAAAAAAAGAAAGCCAGTTGAGTTGTAAAAAAGCTTTAAAAAATTAAATTGAATCCAAACTTCGAGACAGAAGAGATGAAAATGTACATATGCAATTTAATGACACAGCTTCTACATTCTATCTGAGGCAATCAGATATACATAACATATATTGCATCTTTTAATGTCCATATGTCATTCAACACTCCAAAGTGTGTCATTTTGAAATCTAATTTTAGGCAGGCATTTCATTGCCGTTGTACTGTATCCCAGCGTTAATTTAGATTTTGTTTTAGATACTGTTTTCCCAAAAATTGCAAGAAACATTATTGTAATGTATTCAAAAGAAGTGTTTTTTCAGACACTCCAAATCTATATTGGATTTCTTCAGCAGTAGCATCCTTCCTTTTCGGACAGCAACACAAATATCTTTAATCATCGTCTTTATCAATAATTCCCAATTTTTGTCCAACCCACTTGCATTTAGCAATGATCTCATCTTGCATCAACGAAAAGCACATAGACAGAATCGCCATTCCAAACAACACGTAAACAGCGCCCAAAATAAGTTGTGCCGTCTGCTGGGGGTTGTCAAAATCTGTACCCGGAACTACGTCACCAAATCCGATGGTACTGAGTGTAATGAAGCAGAAGTATGCTGATTGTAGCTCGTCCCACGTCTCCCATAAACCAAACAACATGGCGCCGCCCAAAATGTAGCCGGCGATGACAATCATCGTAACCGTTAGAGGAACCGTGATCTTCTTCTCATCCAAATCATCGTCCTCGTCATCGCTGTCGTCATCCATAATCATCGGCTCTCCTCTAACCTGTTGTGATCGGTTGGCTAGTTCCTGTTGTTTACTGAATGACTTGATATCCAGTGGGATAATTTTAACGGGCTTTCCATCATCGCTCCTTCCTTTCACGCTGTCCGGTGTCTTTGGTGGAATCTTGCTGAAATCGCTGGTACCCATTGGCGGGGCCGCTGTAATGATCTTGGATTTGTCGTTGTTCCAGTTGGGTTCCTGAGCCACGGGTTTGATCTGAACAACCTTGGTTTTGTCTTTCTTTCGGCAGCAGCCACAGCAGCAGATCTTGGAATAAATGAACCTGAAAATATCGGCCAGCACTTCCCCAATGTTCGCCAGACAGAGGAGCATTAAGGGAATCCCTAACATGGCGTACGCGATACACACCAATCGGCCCCAGAACGTCTTAGGTGCGATATGTCCATAACCTGAAGAGAAAGGTGGATAGGATGAACTGAATGGAATATCATAAATTTGATCGTTCTACAAGGTTGATATTATAATACATCAATTATTCATTCGTTTATATGAAACTAGTCTTGTCATAAAAATGTACAGAGTCGAATAAAGAACTTAATAGTACCCCAGAATTAAATACGGCATGGTAGGTGTATGTTAGTTTACTGTTTAAGGTTGTTGCTAAAGACCACAATTTTTTTTTAAAGAGTTCTAAACATCTTAGTGCCAAAAACATTTAGCTACTCATCATGTTCATCAAGACACACAAGTTTGTTTCATTCGATGTGCAAGAGGCGCTTGAAAATCAAGTGCAGGGTCTGTTCACTTCCCTCTTAAATACAGTATACAAAAAGAAAAATTAGCACATCCTAAAATAATATACAGTTTTGATCTCATTGAAAAAAATACAGCCCTAATCTAGTACAAAAAGAAGCCGAGTTGGGAAGATTTAGGAATTATATTGTGTCAGCCATGTTTTGCCCGGAACCTCAACATCAGTTGTTGAGTTTCCTATGTATATCAAACCTTGTTTAAACTTACATAAATTGTGATTTTGCAAAATTGTTTCCTGAAAATGACAAAGTGTTTATCATTTGTTCTGAGTACGCAGGCACTTAATTTACGTGTTTGTAGCTGTATTTACTGAAAACGAGGCTAAATCATCCGATCTAATTCTTTGTCTAAGGTAAAATGAATCGCAATGCTTCAATAATTACTTTGAAGACCGATCCATTAAGGTTGAATTTTAAAATTAATCAATTATCGTCTTAGAAAGTGTATGCTTAGCAGAGGAAGAAGAATAAAATCCCTGTGAATAAATCGATAATATATAGATTAATGTTCTTCAAATTATCCGGAATGGGAGCGTTATTATGATTAGGTTCTCAAATTATATTATTTGCAGCATTAGTTTTTCTAACAGGTGAAAATAAATAATTCAAAGCTGAATTTGTTTTCAGTTTGTTATTTTGTTTTTATATCATGAGGATAGATCTGGTTTTTAGCATATATAGTACACATCTTTCGACCATGCAAAATCATTATTTACTTTTTAAAAGACATAAAATTCTCACAGACGTGAAATTGATTCGATGCACAAGAGCATGCTTTACGTATGAACAATTTCTAAAATGAGGTGAATTATTGACAAACAAGTTGATGAATATAAGCAGTCTCGTTTAAATTCATCATTTCGTAAGTTCTATGGCAATGACCTTGATAGCAAAAACAAATTATCATTGAGTCAATTGCTGACTGCATTTTTCATACTAATTTTTAGTCCATTATTTATACACTGAATTGAGGACGTTATTTTCCGATCCTGACAAGGAGCACATGATGAATGTGACCAGTCGGCAGGGGATACCCACTCCTCCATGGCACCGGATCCCACCTCTGATTTTTTGGAGATCCGTGTTTGCCCTGGTCCTATTTCGTATTGTTTATAGACTTTTGAAATTGAAAACTGTTCGTTATCTCCATTTGTTTCATTTCACACAGTGGAAATGAAAAGTGTTTCATCTTCACAGTGTGAAAAAAAAAAACTAATATTGTATACATATTATGTGTTATAGTGATTTTTTTTCTGATTCGTTTGACAGTATGGTTTAAATTTCAGAAAACTTAAATGCAGTCGTGAAAATATAACAAAAATCTAGTCGTTGAACAAAGTCCAAATCCTCGAAGCCATATATATGTATTTTCAAAGATGTATCTAAACATTTTTATAAATCAATGCAAAGATCGATTCACACACAAACAAGGAACCTAAATTGGAAAAAAAAATTCACCTGATCATTCTTTTTTATATAAAATATTGCGCCTAATACCTTCAATCGATGGCTTTTATAATATAAAACGAATAAAAAGGAGAATGCGGATCGATATTGAAACCTTTACTTTCAGCGGTGTTTCCAAGACCTCTTTGTTTTAAAAAATCAATTTCAAAATAATGAAACTATTTTAATACATAGCAATATATAGATTTTTCAGTTGTCTCATCGTAAAGAACAATACATACAATCAAGAATTAATGTATGCCTAGCAGGCGCTCGATCAATGTGCCGTGAGTGCTGCGACGAATAAAATCATTACACGACTTCCTAACGATATATGGTCATAAGTATACTATGGTAGTTAATGGAAATATATTACAATTACTGTATGTTAATTAATCTGTCTAGAATTGTGTTTTGAAGCCTAATATTTAACAAAAGCATTTATAATGCAAAAGCCATGGTCCAAAATACTCTTAAAGTCTTTCCTGGAAAACAAATACATGTATCTGAAGAAAAATGAGAAATGTAATAACTAATTTATCAAATTGATGTCCATGACTTTTACAGTTTATATATCGAGACTTTTTGTCAATTTGAAATTGCATCTTGATAGTCAACATTATATAAGGATGCTCTTGCAGATATGTACTGATTATTATTATTATTATTATTATTATTATTAATCAAATCATTTTCTTTCACATAATGTATTGGCAAGTAATTTTTGACCTCTCAATTGGTTCTTACCCTAACTCCAGAAAAGAAACAATGAACAACCTTAAAACTTACTTAATCTGGGATTGATTGCCTATTCGCATAATTTTTAGTGGTTTTGCTGTATATTCATAATATCAAAAAACATATTTGGTTGCCTCACCTTAGCCCGAGACCATAACTTTTTTTTTCTTCTATTTTTGGCAAGTTTATTTTAGCAATAATCATTCATATTCACATAAAACACCCTTTTCCCCTATCTTGGCCCAAAATCGTAGTCTGTGGGGGTATTTCTTTTCTTTTAAAATAAAAATCTACAATACATATGGATAGAGATGCTTACACAACGATACCTAATTGTTATGATGTACTGTTTTCGCGAACATTCTAAAACTCTCTCATATTCCTGTGTTAGCCTTTTATTCCTCTCTTAGTTCTACTGGTACCCCTTGGGCCATGATGAAGGACCTTTATGTACACTTTATCAGAATCTTTCTTGACTTACATTTTCCTACTAATCGTTAGGTCATTATTTACACACTGAATTGTCGACAGAGTCCTCCTTTATTCATCAATCATGACAACACGGCGAGTATGAACGCTCGGTAGGGGATGCTAAACCCTCCACGGCACCTGTTCCCCCTCTAATGCTTTAGAGTTCCTGTGTGCTCTGTTTCTGAATTGTATTGTTTGAATTGAATTTTGAGCATAAATACTATTCGTTATCTCCATATATTTCATTATCTTTTTGTCACTATTTCATGTCTCCCGAGAAAAATTGTTCAACTTTATATTCGCACAAATCAGACTATGCCATAAAACTTAAATGAGCTCTATTTTGATCTAAGGCTTGATTTTCCAATAAATATTCCTTTTGTAAAAAGTGAGGCTGAGATCAAATGGGAAAATTCGTAGAAAATTCCGTGAAAATAGGTCTAACAATTGATGTTCAAAACGTCATTCAGAATTCGCTTTTATGATAGACTTATTAGACTGTACTTGCTGGGAAGAACATTGTATCGACCATGAAATTTGCAAAATTAGGACTCTAAAGAAGACAGTAGATATCCCTGTTCCGTCAACTTGTTTGTTAATAGCTTGCCTCATTTAAGAAAGTGTTCATTCGTAGACCATGCTCATGTTGGAGACAAAAATGATAAAGGTTCATTGCTACACAATAAAGGGAAGTTGACGATAGAAAAATTGAAGTAATCACTTTCATCATAAAGACTTGTTAGAATACGTTTTAGTAAACAGTATAATTATCATTATTGATATATACCAGTCGACATAAGTAAAAGATTGTTAAGTAAAAGATACCACAGAATCTGACACATCTGTTTAAAACAATTGGATATTAATGGTAATATAACAACCAAGCTCCAAGTGCTTATAATTTAACTACTAAACTAAGGACTTACAGTGTATTTATAATAAAGGGGATAAAATTCTATCATTTTGAGGCTTTATATAATTGATTTTAGAACATATTCATCACCCCTCTCCGCATTCATATTTTTGTCCCTAACACATATGATTTTCCAAATAAATAAAAAAAAATCATTAAGGTGCACATAATTTTAGAATACCTTGCGGGGAAATATCAGTCCTTTTTACTAGACATTAAATTTCTTAATAAAGAAATAATAGTCACGTATTCTTTTAGAATTATCTCTCTTATCTCGTTTAGAGTTATCTTTCTTATCAGAGTATTGATGTATACCTTAGTCTTTGTGTTCATACCATTGTCTGAGTTCTCATTGACTCAATGTTAAGGTAATATGGCCCTAAGACAGAAACTAATCTAAATTTATCTATTTTCCTTAGTTCTCCTGCCAAACGACTGAGCTTTCTTTTTGTAACAGGCAAAAAGAAATAACATCATATAGAGTAGACAAGGGCTTCTAAAAACATCAGAGGTGGTATCAGATGCCATGAAGAAGTAAGCATCCCTGCCAAGGGGTCACATCCACTGTGTTTCTTCTCATGATCGGGAAAAAGAGAAATCCGTTGATGATTCAATTTGTAAACGTCATTCGGCGTTCGACATAATGGAAAATTCAGTGTATTGACAAGGTCATCATTTCAACCAAAGAACTTGCACAATGATCACTTAAAATGAGACTGTTTCATCAGTCTGTTTGTCAATAGCTCTCCTCAGTTAAGATATTGTTCATTTGTAAAGCATGCTCTTGGGTATCAAATAAACAGAGATAATAAGCCCCATATGCAGGTGATAAGGGTATATTGCTTCATAAGGAAGGACTTTAGATGATGCAATAAAAAGAAAACAGTTGTGTTGTAGGTGGTCTCGACCTGTGTAAGCGACGGCGATCCTGGGGAAAGGTACTCAACAGACTGCAAAATTTACGTATTTTAAGGTATTTTTCATTGGGATTTTTTTCTGAAGAAAATGTACATTAATGGTTTTGTGCTCTGTGCCTCATACAGGTGCCCTACCGTTAATATACCGTGAAGTGTACCTTACATACGGTTAATATGACGTGATGACTTACCTATAGTAGAAATGACAGTGACAGAGAAGTAGAGGGCCCCAGGAAAAGACCACTTGTACGGCGGACCCCCTTCCTTGCCATAGTCCCCACAGATATCACCCCCGTAACCAATAGCGATGCTGTTATCTCGGAACGTCTCCAGGATGCTCCGGAGTTGGATCGTCATGACGTCTTTGTTGGCGTTCCCTTCATTTTCCGTCATGACGCTGATCATCTGAGATAGGGTTTTATTCTCCATAGGGACATATTCGTTTCTAGAGTCATAGCAGATTTGTTGTTCGTTGTTTTGCTCCAAGTGTCTAAATATGAATCCCCCCGCCACGCAGTAAAGCGCCACCAAAACACACAGTCCCACATGAGAAAAGAGAAATTTCATGAATTTCCGACAACATCCTTCTTTTTTCTTTGCCATCTCAAAGTCTGGGATTTATGAGATCTTTGTATCTTATGAAATTTACCACTTTTCTCCTGCTCTGTTATTTCTTACATTTCACGATATTTTTGTAAGTAGTTTTAGAAATAATTCTTCCTGACTTCTGTAACAATCCAAGATGGCGCTGCTGGTACAATACCGTATTGAGTACCTGAAACGATAGATTTTTTTTTTTTTTTTACATTTTTAAAAGCGAGATCGATTCTACAAAACTTTACATAGAGGTAGAAACGTTTGTATGAATAATTCAAACGAACCACTCTAGTTCTGGAAATGTATTGATCTGGGATACTGTTGACAACCCGAACTGTCAATATAGTGAAATTATTTCTCCCCGCGGCGCGATCATTGTATGATGGACGTATCCAGGTAGTGATACCATAATTGAGATGTACTAAAGATACGTCTAAGACATCACAGAGTATCGCCTTCTTAGAAGCAACAGGAACATGGTTTCTGAACATAACTTACATGTACAAGCAAATAAAAAAAAAATAAAACTCCTTCTATATTGTTAAGTAAACTTAATAAATACAAAACCATTTCCTAAGTAAACATTAATGAAATAAAAATACAATGTACCAAGTATTTCATTTATGATATTCATATCCTGAAATGAATTTCTACTTCTATTTCTGACCATGCAAATAATGGACTTAAAAAAAGCATTCTATCAATATTCGATTAAATTTGAAAATATCATCTTTCTGGGTGTAAGAATAAAAGATACATTTTGAAAATTGGTTATAAAATACTGATACATATCGTTTACCTTGGGTTTTTTTTTTGGGCATACATTATAAAATTAGTTAACGATGTCTCTTTATCACTCTCTGAATATAAGTTTTCACAACTGAAAAAAATGGACAAATTCTAAAGGGCAAGTAGAGCAACACCAAAACGCGACCCCTAGACTCTTAGATAGATTAATTTTAAAAGAGGACATTAAAAAATTATTGTAGTGAGGAAAATTCAATGCTTACAATGAGGAGAACTTGATTTTAGATTTGTATCTAGGTAGTCGATTAAAAAGCATCTGATTTAATTTGCCAATAACTTATAAATATTACATGCTCATTAAGTCAAAATAACAGTATTTTTCATTCCAGGCAAATACAGACAAATTGTTGTTAACGTGAATTTATTTATTAAAAAACACATTTTCAAAAGAAATGCAGTTGCTTAATTTTCGTACTCTTAACTAACAAAGAAATTAAAATATGATGAATTTTGCTATATTTTAATAAAGCTTTAGTTAATATTATTTATGAATTATATGGAGAAACTAGCAGTATTTAAGCTCAAAAGTCCATGCATTAAACAATTATACAAATAAGGAACAGAGCAAAAGCGAACCTCTAAATCATCAGAGGTGGGATCAAGTGACATAGAGGAGTGAGCAACCCCTGCCAAGCTTCGACATTCCTTGCCATGATCGGAAAATAATGTATTTTAATTTCTAGTTCCTAGTTGCTCTCCTCTTGCACGAATAACACAGACACTGCACAAGGCTATAAATAAGGTTTCCGCAAAACATATTCAAAATTGATCACTATTCCAGTTGAGATGCCTTACACAAATTATGTTCAGCTCAGAGGTCAGTTTCCTATTAGGTTCAAATCATTTTTTTTTCTCAATGAAATTGTAAAGACTGTTTTGTCTTTAAGAAACTCATAAGTATTTCATATTGCTCAATAAATACAAATCGCTTCCTGGTGTACTTTGAAAGAAGCACACATATAGGTGTAGTTCTGACTTCTTTCAGTATTTCCTTTTGAGTACAAACAGTTTCTCAAACGCAGTGTAGTTTCTATACTAGAATACCCAGATTTAAACACAATCTTATCTGTTTGGGATCGAATAAAGAAAACATTAAATCAAGACTAAAAAAGATATGTGAAAGGAATGCGGTCTCTAAAAATGTTCCTCAAAACTTATTTAATGGAATACCTAGTCGCATTAAAGCTGTTACTTACGACGGCGTATTCGTGCCATATTGACAATGTAGTAAAAAACATTAAAAAACAACAGCTAAGTTGGGACTGTTCAGACGTAAAAACAAATCCGACATAGGGGATGTAGCCCTGTGGTCAATTTCATGGATACAGGTGGTACTACTTGAAAGCTATTATGACAGGATTTACCGCTTCTCAAGAAGATATTCGATGTCTTCTTTCTATACAAGATCAGGAGGGAGTGTTTTTAAGGAAAAGAAACAGATTAAGACGAAGATTGTACAATAACAAAGGTCCAACAACAACAATATTCATTTTCACACCGTTTACTGAACAAGTTACAATTTATCGTGTTTCTGTACCTGTTATAGTAAGCAGCGAAGGGACTTCTCTATACAGTAGCTTTACCAGGTTTCTTATCCAGTACGCTTCAGTTCCGAATCAAAAGAAAAAAAATCATACAATCGATTTTCTGAATCGTTCAAACGATTTGTAAAATTGTACAAACGATTTTTCAAAATTTTCTCTACATTGTCAAATTGGCACGAATACGCCGTCGTAGTTACTACATATAGGACAATTAATTAATTACTAAGAAGAAAAAATATCAGGTATTATAAAAATAATCATCTCCATCAGGGGTCCCACCCTTTGTAGCTGCAAGGTTGAACACTGGCAAATTCCAGGATTTGCATCAAATAAGGGATTTTTTTCTTTTGTTTATGTTTTTTCTGATTTTTGGGGAGGGGTTGCTATAGGCCTGATCTTATTTTTTATCATTATCTCTTAAACTATCGCATTAAGCCTTTCAGTGATAAACAACTTTTAATACTTAAATCGGAGGTGTCAACAAATTCCTTTCTATTTACATAACCTGCCTATTGTAAAAAACAAAAATTAAATATGATGGTGCTTCTTAATGAGGGAAACAAGCCCAAATAAAATCAAATGAAGTTACATGTCGCCATAGGTCTAAAGGCAACGCGTTGAATTATAATGATTATTATTTCGGAAGCGTTGTTAGCGTTGTATAATTATTCATCATTAACGAATGGTTGATTTTGAACATTTCTTAAGGTTCTTGGAGATAACAGACATAATTCAAGTTCAATTGTCCATTCAAACAAATAAAATCCAGAGCAGAGCAAACAGGGGCCTTCAAAACATCAGAGGTGGGATCAGGTGCCATGGAGGAGAGAGATTCACCTGCCGGCCAGTCACACCCGCCAAGTGTGCTCGAGCCCCTTGTCATGATCGGGAAATGACCGTAGATAATTCAGAGTATAAATAATAGCCTAACAATTTCTTTGAAAAACGTTCATCAGCATTTGACTACCAATAAATGATAGATTGTATTTGCTGACATTGTATCGACCATAGAATAAAACTAGAGAATATTCTTGTGTTTCGAATCAACCGTTAGAAATAGACCAAATACGCGTGTGACAAGGGCATTGTCCTTTCTGACGTATTTTATTTTATCAAATAAAATCTGCTACATATGTATAAGGGACGTTGACAACTGAAAAGTTAAAATTATCACGTTTATTATTAAGCTTTCTTGATAGGTTATCGTTTACGTCTTTTCCTAGTAAAATGTTCAAATATGAAAAATGGGGGTGATTCTGTGGTATCTATTTATTTAAACTCACTGGGATATATTGTGTCGACCTATCAATTGAATGATCTATTTTTAATTTATTATACGTTGTCGATATACATATAATATATGTATCTTCAAATTTTCCTTAACAACTGTTACCTATTCAATCGACAATCATCAT